TTATAAAAAAAATTACAATTTATAAAAAAATATTTATGTAAGTATGTAAAATCTACAAGGAAATTTCAAACCCTTTGAATGATAAAAAAACACGTGTGCATGCATGGGTATAAGTATGCAAAAATATGACAGCTCAATTTATACAAAGCAAACATTGAACTTTTATAAAAACATTCAACAAAATCAAAATAATCAAATTTGTAAACAAATAACCGTTTAAAATATTAACAATAGCTTGTTGAATGACAATTAAAAATTAAAAAGTGAATTTTTACTTGCTATAATGTTTTATATGGACAAAAAGTACAATATAAATGTAGTAGATGAAGAGTATATAGTAACACTTAAGTAAATCAATTTCGATTGTTTATGACTTAAGTCAATTTAAAGCTTCCTAAGTGGGTAATAAATTGAAAAACAAGAAAAAAAATTAAATTATTTCTTGTGTCTTTTTTTTATTCTCTACTGTTATACATATTTATACATTATATACCTACATACACTTATATGACGCTCGATTATGTCAAGAGTTTGAGTTCACACAAATAAAAAATATTATTATAAAAGAAATGAATTGAATTACAATTGGATGTCACTTTAAAGAGTGTTGTCGTCGTTTGTTTTTTTTTTGTTATTTCTATTGTTATTATTATTGTTGTTTGTCTCTTTCATTGTTTGTCATGTGAATATCGTCTGCATATTCAATTATGAAATAATTTATAATATTTTCATATTTATTTATAATATTAAATCTTAAGAGTGAAAAAGAAAGAGATTCATAAATATTTTCTATCTCATTTCATTATGGAATTTCTTTTTACATTATACAATATTAAATTATTAAAATTTAAATATGTATAATTGAGCACATTGAAATAATTTAAATCAAATGATTAACAAAAATATTCAAAATTATTAAAATATGTAATAATAATCGTAAATCGTGCAATAATGAACTTTTACTCTTACTATATGTAAATTGTAATGCTAATTTTGTTTAATAACGTATGTAAATTAATTATTAACCGCACATTTTATAAACGAATTTTGGTATTAAGTTTCAACTATTTTTTTATTACGACATTATGACGGGTGTTTTATGAAAAATTAAATTTCGTAATCAAATTTTAACTCCAGTTTTAGTTTACCTTTACGTTATAAATTGAAAATTTATTCTAATTTTTTTTTGAAATTTGTCAGTTTTTTTTTTTATTTTTAATCGATTAAAAAAAACTAGTTTTGGTTGAGTGACATAGGAATAGGTTTTATTATTAAAGATAAAATGACGGTTTAATTTACCATATTATTATGTATGTATATACAGGGTGTCTGAAAAGTTCCCGTACTTTTTTTTTAATATTTTTACATCTTAGAACTGCTACATGGATTAAGAAATCCACATTGTCAACTGTTCAGAGACGTTTATAAGAGTAGTAATAACAATATTCAATAAAAATTTACAAAACATGCTCAAAATTAGCTCCATTTGCAGTAATACTTGACTCCCCAACTCCTGGTAATGTTTTATGGCATCATAGACAGTCTTATTTTTGTAATCAGTCGTCCTTACAATCGCAGCTGTCTTCATACCTGACCTGTGTAATTCTATAATAGTAATGTGCTTGTTATCGCGATTCATTTCTAGGCTAACAAAAATTAAAGACACATTTAACAAATACTACTTGGGGTAATATTACACGACGAATGCAAATAATGAAAACAAATTGAAAAAACCAGAATTATAACGAAAAAAATTAGTATTTCCAAAAGTACGAGAACTTTTTAGACACCCTGTATTTTACAGCAACATATGCAATTTATACATGCAATGTAAAAACGTTTTTGAAAAATCTTGCCACTTCTCCTTTGTCTTTTCATACACTAACTATAATTGTGTCCAATTAATCACACATCACTATTATACTTCTTCTACTACCCGCCATCTAAAAAAACCAAATACATAATCGTTGTGTTGTCATTGCCAAAAACAGGCCTGATTTTTTTACTTATTTGTTTAATATTACTTAATGGAGCCAAATCGCTTGAAATTAATTTTATAGGGCTTTGAGAAAAATAATAAAATCTTGGTATATCAAATTACGCTTCCTTATCTATTTCCACCACTTTATTCCTCTCGCATTTTGTGCAGCCGAGAATTTTCTGGAATAATGAAAATCAAAATGATTTTGTGTTTGTCTATTTCGCGACAACTGCAATATTTCGGATTGAAATTCAGGCTCCGTAGCGTATCAAATTCATAACAAAACTAAAATGTTGTAAACGATTAATTGTAATTCAGTATGAAGAAAAAAGCTAAATATTTTCCAATTTGTCTACCTAGTTATAATTCCAAAATTCCTGTACTAACTGTAAGTTAGCATAATGAACACAAAAATGCCAATCTCATCTTCCTAGGGCCTCGAAGTATGTGGAATTTTAATTTATTCTTAAAAATTCCCAAAAAAACAAGAGTTATAAAATGAATAAGACGTTCTTCTTAATTTTTCAATGTTTTAAAGCTTTACCTAATATAAACCTGAAATGTTCATAAAATCACTTTAAATTTTCTCCTATTAAATAGTTTTTTTAATTAATATCTAACCGGAACAACTTTGTTATTCATGCACTGCAAACAAAATAAAAAAATTAAAATCTTTCACAAGAATTAAATTTTTATTCAAACAAAAATAAAAATTATGTAAATATTAACAAAATCTTAAGATTATCAAAGTTAATTTTATCAAAGCAAAAATTTTCATAAAATTTTAATTATTTTTTGTGGAACTGCAAAAAAAAAACTTTTTTTTTTGATGATTCATTTGAAAAATGACTAATTTATTTTGTAATTTTGAAAAATAATATTTACTGTTTATTTTAAACGAACTTATTTATTCCATTTTCTATATCAAATTAATTTTTTTATAAATAAATAAAACTAGAGCTAGACCTAAATATATTGAGTTTCTGTTTACTTATGGTTTCAGTTTTCCCTTAAATAAGTGTGTTGAATGAACAAAAATGGATGAAATTAAGAACCTATATACGTACTTACATGAAAACTATATGTGGGTATGATTCATAAAATTAAATTCAATTTTAGTGCATAAAATGGCAAGACATTAAAATTTTTATAGGTTTCCTTCGACATTTACTTTTCTCATTCCATAGTAAATTGCAAAATTTCAGAAACAGAAATAAGCGTAGAAAATAAATTTTATCACAGTTTAAGAATAAAATAGAAAAATAAAATGTTCTACTATTTAAGAAAGTATTTAAGAAAGAACCAGTAACGAGTGTAAAAATAATTTTACTCTCTATGTTAAGTAAATCCCAAGTAATTTTCAACAAATTTATAAAAGAATTTGACCTGGTCTACGAAAAAGCTTTATAAATTATAAAAATAAACGATGTTGCAATTTTAAAAGAATTTTCAGGCATTCTTTTCTGAATTTTTTCAATGTTTAAAACGCGTATTCGTCGAATTAAACAAAAACATAGAATTGAATCTGAAATTTTTTCCATACTTGAATAATTTCTTCGTATCACACATTGCAATGCAATATGTTGTCAGAAGCAAAACGGATTTATAATGGTATTTATGACCAATGGTTTCAAAAAATAAAAATTTCATTTTATGGTACTTTAAGCCATTTTTTCTTTATTAGTCATTTTCCACATAAGCACACATTCCTTGTCGCAGTATGAACAAAAAAAAAAATTTAGAATGAAAATCTGACGTAAAAATTATTTTAAAAATAACGGAATATTTTATAGGGAATTTTATTTTCAAATAAATGAATATGAAACCTTTTCTCAAACGTTTTAGAGAGAATTAATGAAAAATCCTTATGTTTTATAAAGTTCAAATAATATTTCTTAAGAAACTATCCACAGATCATAAGTTTGTTAGAAATGCAAAGAAGATTTGAACATACCATCATATTATTGTTCTGATTTAGTAATTTGGTTTTTAAAACAATGTGTACCAAATTACGAAGCATATAAATTGCATTTTTCAACATTATTTTTGTTCAAAAAGGAAGCTGTTTTGTGAATTACAGTGTAAAATCTCGTTTAATATTGTCAAAATACCAACCACAAATTTTAATGTGAATTTTACAAAGATTACAATAAACAGTGGCTAACAAACTAAGACGTAAGGATATTTCAGCATTTTTTTTTTTCAATTTTTACTCGATATAGAAGAGAAGTACCCTGATTTAAACAAACTTGCAGCTTAATATATTGAGAATCTTGCGGTTATATTGAGAAATAGAGTTTCGTAAAAAAATTTTAATATTTTTATTAGAACGATGGTTCAAAAACAATTTTAAGTAAAATCGTTTAACATCGTTTATTATTAAATAATTTCATAGGGTATACTGTTCTTTGTTCGTTCTGTAGACAAAAGTGAGCTGAACAAAAACATATGTATGTATTTTTCTTTTGTGATAATTAAGGATGGTTTCAATAATATTGTGAATTAAAAAAAAGAAAGAAAACAATTTTTAATTTTTGTGGCCGTAGCCAAATACTTTGTAAGCATTTCGATAATTTCTATAATTCTGAATTTTATAATCAAACTGGTGCCTCTTCTATATTCTGCTGAAATTCGATTAATGCGCTTCATTTATAAATAAAATAAATATTTTAAGGAACTACTATTTCTTATGGTGTTATAGATCAAAAATTGGTGTTATAAATCGAAGTCAATGCATTATTGAGTAAAAATCAATTCAAATCAATTTTTATATTAAAATTATTTTCATTTAAATTGTCATTTACACATGCATAGAAATTGCACAATATCATTTGATATAAAAACCACCTTATATAACGGTATAAGTAATGTGCAATTTAAAATAATTTTCGCTAAAAAATTCATGACAATGTTACCATTTTAGAGATAACAAGCATTTTTTATAGAAAATATTAATTATTTTATTAAAGTCTCTCATGTTTTCTTTTTTTTTTGTTTTCTTTCTTCCTATTTTTTACAGGTAACAATAATAACGGCCATCATATTAACTTCAGTTAACATTAGTGCCTATCAGGTATCATGCTATATACGCTTAGGCTATTTAATGTCTTCAATGTCTGAAGTATTATTAAAAAAGACAAAAAATCGTATATATTTATCGAAAAAGCGAGCTATTTAAAAACGGCTTAAGTCCATAAAATAAGAAAATAAAAATTCTCACACACATTTCGTTTGCTAAGAAAGTGAATCTCATTTTCTTTCTATTATTTCACCTCGATTTTTTTTCTTTTGTATTATTGAGTGTTATAAACAAAGCTTTCGCGCGGATGCGAGGTGCGAAATATTAACGATAACGGTAAAAGTTTTTCTATATCATTTTTAAATTGTGATTTTTTTTTCACTTTTCACGAAATCTTTTTTTTTTGTGAAATTTTGAATCAATATTACCTTAAAAATCCCATACTTTATACTCGTATGAACGTCTTTTTAAAATCATAAAAAATAAAATTTATTTGAGAGTGAAGAAGACAAAAAAATTGTAAGAAAAAGGAAAATTTTCATCAAAAAATTTTCTAATTTTTTTTCATACTTATATGAATAAAATTATGGTGATTTCAAACTCCTGTACATTTTCATAATCAACAATGAAGTGGAGATTAAGCAGTAATGATACAAACACAAACAAAGACGTAAGTTATTAAAAAAAAATTTTATAGAAAGCACAAAAAAACAAAAACAACAGTGTGAACTCATAATTTTTGTTTTTATTAAAAAAATTTAAGCAAATTTAAAAATCAAAAAAATATGCACAAAATTTTTCAAATGTCTGCTTTTCCTGGCAATTAAAAAATGTTCTGTTGTAGAAAATTTTGACAACATTGTATTATGACAGTTTATATGTAATGTTCGTGTGTAAATACGAAAGACTGAAAAGATGCAAAATTTTGTCACATTAATTCACAACTTTGCTATTCTGTAAGATTTTTCCTACGTCTTACTGTGCTATTCTGTATCTATCTCACAGAATAGCACAGTAAGACGTAGGAAAAATCTTACAGAATAGCAAAGCGTCACTTGAGTGACACTAATTGTATAATGTGTTTTACAGAATTTTCGAGATGAAAATATTCTGATAACAGAACTTGAGAATCATAAGTACTTTCGATATGATTGAGAGAAAATGATCTCATTTACATTTGTACGAAAATAAATATTTATTGGTATTATAAATTGTACCATTGATCTTTTGAAAAGTGATATTTTTGATATTTTCCTGTTCTTTGAGGAAAAAATAAACCAGCAGAAAATTAATTAATTCACTTGTGATAGAATTCCACCTAGCTGAACATCAATCAATGTTCATAGCAAAACTGAACGCAGAAAACATCAAGTGTGAATATGTTGATTTAGGTACATTTTTAGCTTATTTGGACAACCAAAATAAAATGTGGAATTTAGTGCCTCTTTATTATTAGGAGGCAATATTTTTGAACCTTCACAAATAGTATGTTATATTATATACTATTGGTTAATAATAAAGTCAAAAATACAATATAAAATATTTGACCAAAGCTGAATCGCTATTATATACTTTAATGTTCAAACTTTACAGCTTCATCCCATATTCAGTCCAATACAGCGCACATTTCCCGTGATATTAGAAAAGCAAAGTTCTTAATATAAAACAAATTATATGCTTCTTTATATATAAGATTTTCTTTAGGAAAAGCACTCTCACTAGATTTTCAATTTATTTACTAATTTATCTTAAAAATCATTCATATTCTTTAATATGCATGTTAAAAAAAATTTATTAAAATTCACGACTTTTAAAAATTATTTTTTCCTATAATTCACACTGATTTTCTTTGTTAATTATTTATAATGCCTTTAATAAATCATAATGTGAATTTATTAATTGAATTACATAACAACTTCAAATTTTCTATCTAAAGATGGTTTTCTTTACCAACTTTTAATTCATTGTTTGAAATTAAGTTACAAACAATTGTTTGAGAAAAAATTTTTGCTTGATAACTTTATTTTTATATCAGTTTGCAGCTAATACAGTAATTAAATTATATTTTATGTCGTCCAATGTCAAACTCTACATAAATTTCAAGATTATCAAAGTTAATTACTATTACAAAATTTTTATAATTTAAAATAACAAAGTAAATTGTATTTTTCGAGGAATTCATAAAATAACTTTCATTATAAATTGAATATTTTAATAGCCCAGTTTGCAATTATTATGTAACCACTTTTCCTTGGCATTTTAACCCTATTACGAGTATATAGAATCAAAAGAATGCAATAATTAATTAACAATGTAATTTTGTTTTATGAGGAAGTTAAAAAATATGTTGTAATAAAATTAACTTGAAAATAACTGTTATACTTACTCCAATCAAAGTAATTGTTTATAATGTGAACTAATTATTTATTTATTTGAAAAGTGTATGATGCAATTAGATGCAATCTTATAGTAAAAAATAATTCTATTAATGATTAAACAAATTATATAGAAGAAAATGTTCTTACGATCGTTAACAGCAAGTTATTTTTATTAGTACAATCTCATTATTAAAACAAATGTCAGTTAACATTTGTGCTTAAAAAATAAATAAAATCTTTCCCTTATAAAGTTCGAATATTTTAATTTGAATTCTACGTATTTTTTATTTTACTAGAGTAAATTTTACATATATGCACTTTACTTTTCTCTCCTTTGTGAAGAATGTGTTTTCTTAATTTATATTAATAAAGATTTAAAACAAAAAGAAAAGTCTTACCAATTATTGCAGCTTTTGACCGAATATTAATTAAAATTTAGATAATTCGAAAAACAAAATATAGATCAACGAACTCAACTTGAATTGTTTTTATTTATATCTACAATTTTGTTTTTTGTAATTCTCAATAGTTGATGTACATGATTGTTCTCCAAGACAACTTAAAAAAATGTAAGTAGCACAACAAGGTGTGCTGTTTTGATATCATAATTCGGCTTATATGTGTTAAGACCCAGACCAACAACGGATTCGATAAAAGATTGAGATCAATACCTTAATATAACTTCCCGACACCTGGGCCAGGTCCTTAAAAAAACAATGTTTTCCATATACTGAACCTAATCCCAGCCAAGGTGAGACATAGGTAAAGTGAAGGGTTTCTTCCTTTCCTACAATGCTCATTCTATAGCAGCTTGACAAAATAATCGGTAACAATTGCCACAACTTTGGCGATATTCTTACAAGAACAATCCAGCAGCTCCCTTGTTTTGTTTTCTTCATGATAGTATGGTATATATATATATATTTTCTTCGACTTTTTGCAATTCGTCAAACCATCTGACCTAAACTCTTTTATACTATCTCTGTTTTCTTCAGACTCATTACATAGTAACATAGTGTATTATTAACCACTTTTATTTCTATCCAGTAAAGTAAAGTTCTATTGTATCTTTTATTCATATTCTCATTAAATGAATAATTCAAGAGTGAATGCAGCATAAGTATTCTTAGCTTGTGCTTATATGTATAAATGATAAATAGTTTTAAATGACAGAAAATGTATGAAAGGGTCTATTAACAACGAAAAAATGTTGGGGACAACATCTTACTCAAGCTACTTAAATACTTTTCAAACTTAATTTTTTCAATATGATTTATTTTAACCTTCTAAAATTACTTCCAGAACTCGGAACTCCCCTCTATGCACACAAACAATTTTTTCACAAAATTCCATAGAATATTTGAATACTTATATTAGATTTCGGAACTTATTTTATCTTATTTTCTACATTGTCTAATTTTTGTTAAACTTTGTGTTTAAGTATCTTGCCAAACAGTGTACATGTTGCTCTATAGGTGCGAAATATTTAACATCACAAATCATATCTATTACTATGTAGGTGCGAAACTTATAAATTTAAAATGAAAATCATTGTTGTCATATAAATTAAATGAAAATAAAACGAAATAACGCAACCAAACTACAGAAAAGTGTTGCACAAATTTTTTTTTTTAGAATTACTAATGAGATCAAATTGCACTAAGGTGCATAACAATCCATGAAAAATTTTTAACATTGTTGTACTCTCATAGTCTATATGTAAGAATGTAATTCACACGTTATATTAAAAATAAGAATTATAAACAGTAAATAAAAGTAAAACTTTATAATATATTGTGCAAATGACTATAGTTTTAAATGAAAAGAAAAAATACTTAAATTTATTTTGTTTTATTATTAAAAGCACCGAAATTTATTATCTTCATAGCATGTTAAGTATAATAAAAAAATAATAGTTGAAAAGTTGATGTAAACATCTAAATTACATTTTATTACGAGACAAGAAACAAGAGTCGTAATCGACACCTACTCTTTACATGTAATTTTAATTTATTTTTTTAAAATTTAAATTTTTATATAAAATTTAATTTAGTTTGCATGATTTTAAATGATTTTCCAATCAAATGAAAAAGATTAGAATAACATGCAAGCTACGTACCCATTTCATATTATGACATTGATAATGGCACTAAAGCAAACACATATACATATATACGTAACTGTTTGAAGGTTTATGCAAATTTTCTCCCAAAAGTATTTGTTTGCTGAGAGTTAGTAATTTATAATATAAAATTCAAACAAAATAATAACAACAAAGTCAAAAAGTAAATAAAGGAGAGGCAAGGCCTATTTTTCAATTCTCTTTTTGACAATTTACAAAAAAATTTGTTGACATTTATTTTCGGCAGTTCCTGTTTCGCTTTTTTTTCCATTTGGCTAATTCTTTAATTTTAACATTGCAAAGAATAAAAATATTTTCTATTTAATTTTTAAAAACTCGTTCGAATTTTCAAATTTCATCTCTTTTAAAAATTTTAATTGAAAAAAGTAAACAAACACATTTTATACTGCTTATACTGACCTGTTCTATCGCAAATTTCTATTCTCTATTTTGTTCTAAATTTTTCATTCGAAGATTAGTTCATAGGGCATTTTTTATCCGGTTTACTTTTGCTAGTGGAATTGTTAGAATTACCAGAGTTTCTTACATTAGAA